ATAACGAACAAGTTCTCACGTAAAGCCACGTTCCTCCTATTAAATAGCTTCAATAAATGAACAGTTCTCACGTAAAGCCACGTTCCTCTATTAAATAGCATGTTATAAACGAACAGTTCTCACGTAAAGCCACCTTCCTCTATTAAAATAAGCATGTAATAAACGAACAGTTCTCACGTAAAGCCACGTTCCTCTATTAAAATGGCTTCAAATAAATGAACAGTTCCCACGTAAAACCACGTTCCTCTATTAAAATGTCATGCAAAAGAGGAACAGTTCTCACGTAAAGACACGTGACTCAGTTAATATAATCTTGGTTTACAATCACCATCTTTACTTGACTGTTATCTCGTCCAGCAAGAGACCCCAACTGTTTGGGTTTCGAACATACTAATCGTTCTACTGCCAAATATATAGAAAACAACTTACACTCCACTGGCATATTTTGTTAATGAATTACGCTTAGTCAATTCACAAAAATAGTTCTGACAGTTTCATGATATCCAAAACGTTGTTACGTTAAGACAGTCTTGTATTGCCCCGAAAATTATGTGTTCCTGAGAAGTCTTGTTTGAATTCCAAACATTTGATGTTTTTAACCATAGAAAGGAACACTACCAACTGCTGACGTGGCAGTAACTGGAACTTTTATCGTACTATATGTCGTCACTGTAGTTGGGTGAAAACTAGTGCTCGTTACTGTACGATACTTAGTGCTGAACGCGTTGTAAATGAGCGTATAAACACGTGTTTTAGTGCTGGTTGCCGTGGTGACAGTGGTATAAGATGAAGTTATGATGGAGAACTGAGGTGGTAGAGACGGCCGTAACTGGGAACCAAACAGCTGTTGGAATTGCTGCTGTTGCTGAAGCGCTTGAGTGTTGACCATTGGCTGGACAGTAGTGAATACAGAGGTCAGTGTTCGTTCCGTGGTCGACAAAGGCTCTGAGAGTGTCCTAAGCCTGACGGCTCGTCCATCATAAATACTCACCACCCTGGTGTTGTAAACGGTTTCAACAGTTACGTAAGAAGACATTTTAGTGATGGTCGTAAGGTGCGTCACTTGTTGGTTCAGCTGTTGTAGCCCCAAATATAGGGCAGCTAAGGGATTCCGGGACAGGGCTGCCCCTAATGAAAGCAATGGATTGGCCAGATTCAATGGGGCGTTATCCCCCGACGGAACTAAGTTGTCCAATCCTGGAACCCGGGAAAGGGAAGTTTGGAGAAGATGTTGCCGTGGTGACGGTGGGAGAGGAAAGACTCCCGGAAGAAGAGTAGACTGGAGACTAAATCCAATTTCATCTGGAATGTCAAAGTCTGAATCATTTTCCAACAAAATATCGGTTGGAGGCATGGTTTTGTAAGCAGTGATGATCTTCCGAATAACAAAACTTTCAGTTACAGTGTGGACCTTCGTGGACTGTCCATCAAATACAGGAATCAGGGAGGTCCGCAAAGTGTGTTGTGTCGTCGAGTAGGTCCGTGATATTACAGTAAAAGAGGGACTGTCGCTAATTAGTAGATTATTTCTGTCACCTATGTCATTAATGCTCTCGAACAAACCATTGGACAGAACTTCCGTGGCTTCCAAGGTCCGAGGGACTGTCGTGGTTATGGTCAAGGTCCGTACGGACTTCCGGCGACCCACGTGTAACGTCACCTCACTAGTAAGAGTGGTTAGCTCATATATAACCCGATCAGGATCAACAGAATCTAAGGGATCTGTTGTATATTCTTCCAGAGAAAATGTCTCTTCTTCTCTCTGCTTTTCTGGACTCGCTGATAGTTTCACCTTGAAACGATTTAACCGAACCTAAAAACAGTAAAACCATGGGTAACGATCAACTCAACAATAATAACATTATCCATGGGTAACGATCAACTCAACAATAATAACATTATCCAAGGGTAACGATCAACTCAACAATAACAACATTATCCAAGGGTAACAATCAACTCAACAATAATAACATTATTCAAGGGTAACGATCAACTCAACAATAATAACATTATTCAAGGGTAACGATCAACTCAACAATAATAACATTATCCAAGGGTAACGATCAACTCAACAATAACAACATTATCCAAGGGTAACAATCAACTCAACAATAATAACATTATTCAAGGGTAACGATCAACTCAACAATAACAACATTATCCAAGGGTAACGATCAACTCAACAATAACAACATTATCCAAGGGTAACGATCAACTCAACAATAACAACATTATCCAAGGGTAACAATCAACTCAACAATAATAACATTATCCAAGGGTAACGATCAACTCAACAATAATAACATTATCCATGGGTAACAATCAACTCAACAATAATAACATTATCCATGGGTAACGATCAACTCAACAATAACAACATTATCCATGGGTAACAATCAACTCAACAATAATAACATTATCCATGGGTA